CAAACTCAAGTTAATAATGAATGTCTAACTGAAAATGTATGCATTCACACATAAAATACACATAATACAACGTTTGCATTTAAAAATCACCTAAGTTAATAAGTCCCAAAAGGTGAAGCCGGTTGTGATTTTTTATTTTTATTGCGATTTTGATTTTCTTTTGCTTTGCACCATATTAGCTTTAGATTTTGACGAGGATCCATTTTTTGGTAGAGGAAAAGATGATTGTGATGGAACTGGTGATCCACATGTCAACCTTGTATGACCAATTTCCTTGCACCGACTACATATCGATATCCTCTTCTCTTCACCCTTAGACGGTATACGATCGTGATTTTTTGGTCGGCCATGTAGACTGCTGTCCATGACTGGTGGCAAAACTGTTTGTCAGTCATCTGGTATATCCCACTTAGAAGGATGTGGACATGGGTAGACAATCTCGGCATAAGTATGTCGATATACTTCTGTAGTGTAGCAATCCATAGCGTATGCGCTTGAATCATCTTGGTTTAGATGAAGAGAAACTTTTATAACATGGCGACACTGATAACCAGATGTTTGCCATTTCTTACAACTACACGTCTTTACATTTAGATCGACAAGCCCATTTAAGTTATTATCCAATACTTCAAACAAAGTGTTTGAACATGGTTTAACTCTCCATGGCGTTGACTTCACAACACGTTTCGTTATCTTTTTTTAGTCCATGGTGTAACACGACGTTCCAATGTTCCTGTAAATTTAAATAAATAATACTTAGTAAAATATATGATAAGTTACAAATTTAAAGAAATAATACCTGCATGGTTTCTTTTCTTGTAGTACCACTGTTGAATAGAGGCTCGAAAAAACTCCATTAACATAGTAATAGGTAATTTTCGGGAATGACGACTTAGAGCGTTGATTGATTCTGCACTATTAGACGTCATGAAACCATATCTTGCTCCAAGTTGATGTACTCTTGACCATCTTTCAAACCCAACATCTTCTAGTGTTTGAGCACATTGAGGCAAAACACGTCTTAAACAATTTATATGCTTATTAAAATCCACTTCCCGATAAGCTTTTACAGCCTTCCAGTATGTCCATTTGTGATTTTTTATACCAGCAGACCTTGATTTTAGATTTATGTACAAATGAACACCACAAAGTCCATGAAAAGCATCTGGGAAACACCTTCTAACAGCGTTGTCAATTGAGTTTTCCCTATCGGATATGATTGTCAGATTGCTAATAGGACCTATGCAATCCCTAAGATGCCCCATAAACCATGTCCATAAATCAGAGGTTTCAGATTTGCCAACCCCATAAGCTATTGACATTATCCCATTGTTAGCATCCATGGCTACTACTAATAAGTTTACTCCAAGGTATCGACCTTTCAAATGTGCTCCGTCAACTATAATAACTGGCGCATGCAAGTAATAAACGAACAAATCTACAAAATCATATACACAAGAAATATAATCATTTAAATGTGAAATGCATGCAACTAACAAAAATGAGTCAACAAAATTATAATTATTTACTAATCGCAGCACCAATGGCGATAAACAACAACTCAAAGCGTCCATCTCTATCTGTTTTGATATGAGTTACCGACCCAGGATTTTTCAGCTTTAAATTGTGACAATAAGTCGGCAGTTAGGAAAACGATGCTTCTGGCGACCCCCTCAACAATTCCAAGGCATAACATTTGGCTCTCCAAGCTTGAGAATATGAGATACTAATCTTGAACCGAGCATTCATGTCAGTCATAATTTCATGTCTCTGATATACCCTTCCATTCAAAAACATTAACTCATCCATAAAACCACCCAACACCTTTTTGTTTGTCTGTCTATGGGGAGGAAAAACTTGGGTTCTTGAACATGTATGTTTATCAATAAAAGTCCTAACTTGAAACATTTCGCAATCTTTTATCCTCTTTGCAATCATACGCCACGTACAGTTTTTTTCAATCATACATCTTGTTTCAAAACGATCTTTGCTTGATTTGTTAACTTTTAGTTGATAGCCATCTTCCACACATTTCGTATATAAAGCTATCTTCAAGTCTTCCTTTATATCAAAACAATCTTCTTTCTTGATACGAATAACTTTTGTGTAACAATCAACTGCTATCTTGACCAACTCTTCTTCCGGTATTTGAAGTAATTTTGGCATATTCCAGTTATACTCCCGTGGCATTTTCTTCTTTTTCCTTTCTTCGGGGACTTCTTGTTCTTCTTCTTTTTCTTCAGGGTTATATGAATTACAGAATGGATGTTCAACATGTTCATTCACAGTCGTAACTTCATCCTCATTATCATCAACAACATCTTCCTCGGCAACGGCTGTTTCATCATCAAAATTCGGGTATTGACCAATATCAAAATCATTACATGCAGGGTCTGTTTCTTCTTTCATCACATCATCAAAATCCGAGTATTGACCAATATCAAATTTTGAATACTGACTAGTACTCACAATTTTTTCTGTTGGCTCATAATCGTCTAACTGGTCAATACGAAAACCGAAATTTGGTGCTGAAAGTTGATTGAGATTTGGATTAGGAAAAGGTTATGGGTTTTGAGATTGTGTTTGATATTGTGTTTGGTATTGGAAATCTGGTGAAACAAAATTTGCTTAGTGATGAAATTGTGGTGGAACCATTAAATTTTGGGTTGAAGAACTTAGTTGATTACTACCCGCTACTGACCAAACTTCACTAATTCTAGGTTCAACAACATACAATGTAACATCATCTTCTTGCGAAACACTAATGTAAGCAATGAATCGTTCAACATCTTCATTGTCGGTTAACAAATAAGCTTTACCTTTTCTCTGATAAGATAGCCTAAATCCACTTAGAGGCTCTAAATTTAATTTCTTTGCAACACGTAACATTAGAGTTTCATAAGTTAACTTTTTTAATGATAGTTTTAGTTGAAGATTCATGGGTAGAGGCACATACTGTAAAACACCATGAACATTCTCCCATGACCCTCCAAAACACAAATTTATCCAAACATGATCAACATTAGATGATTTCATTCTACAAATTGTAAATTAATTTACTAAACAAATGAGCTATAAACTAGATATTATCACTAACTTAGAGAAAAACATACCTTTATTAAGTTGATAGTTGATAATTTGGGAGAGAAATCATTGAAAAATTATATAGAAATAAAATTATGTAAAAAAAATTAGAGATGGGGAAGGATGTCGCCGAAGAGAGTGATAGATGGAGATGGAATGAGTTGCGATTTAGGTTATGAGTTGATGCTGCTGCGTTGTTATATACCCAAAACATTTGTGTTGCGAAACTAAAACATGTTGCGAAATTAAATTCGCGTTGCGAATTTGAAATTCAGTTGCGAATTTGAAATTTTGCGTTGCGAATTTGAAATTTTGCGTTGCGAATTTGAATTTGTGTTGCAAATTTGACTATCGCGTTGCGAATTTGACTTCTGTGTTGCGAATTTGGAAAATCGCAATGCGATTTACATATTCGCGTTGTGAAATTGGAGTTCGCGTTGTGAATTTGTTGGTCATTTTGGCAAAACCAAAAAAAATTGGTTAAATTCGTATATTATAAGGCATTTTCGGTCACTGAAGTTATTTTCTCAATGAAATATATGGGCTAAAATACTAGAAAAAAATAAATTCTATTCTTTAAGCAAAGCGAGGAGGTTATGACAAAACCAAGAGAAACGGTCCCACAAAGCCTCATCACCAGTAAGCCACACCCCAAGCCAAGGTCAAAAAAAATTACTCATTTAAGCAATAATGAAATCAGGATTTTACGTTAGAAAAGATAAAGTTATAAAATTTTGACAGGTTAGATCTATAAAATTAAGAAATAAAAAATAGATTTTTAATAAAAAATATAAAATATATAAAAATTAAAAAAAAAATACTATCCCACCCACTATCTTGATGCAAAGATAAAGTTACTTCTCCCAATGGGTAAGGATGTCCCTATGATAAGTTGTTGAACTAAAAGACGAAAATGATAGCATATGATCATAAAAGTATGGTTTTCAGAACCGGATCGGTTAGCGAACCGGTCATACTACCGGTTCACTAGTTCAACCGGTCGAACCGGTTCGACCGGTCGGAAGAACCGGACGACGTCATAATTATTTAAAAAATTAAATAAAAATACCAAAAATATTTAATAAAAAATAAATTTTTATATCACAATTCATATTCAAAGCAAGTCATAACATAAATAAGTTAAAAACCATAAAATCAAGTGAAACAAAATGATTCAAATTAACTACAACATAATATTTAAGGTAAAACATATTAAATAATAAATATAATTAAAAAATAAATTTGTGGCTAAAAAATCATAACAAAATTATATTCTTTGGTTTAATTTTTTTTTTAAAATAATCTCATATGGCTAAGAAACATAGAAGATCATCCCAACTAACTTCTATAAATAATAGAGGTAATTTGACATTCAAAATCATGGAGCCTTTTGGTAAGCATTGAGTGAATTATTCTTTCACTTCAATCAAACTCGAATTTTAGGCTTCAATCGAGGTTCTAAATTTTTTTTGAGTTCAAGCTTTTTCGAGTTCAAGTTTCAATATTATATTACGAGTTCGAGTTAAACTTCATAATTTTTAGCTCGTGAGTTGAATCGAGTTGAGCTTACTTTTAAATTTTTCAAGTTCGAGTCGAGCTCAACAATACTCGAGTTCGACTTGGCTCGTTTAACAAACGACGTCGTTTGGTTTAATTTAAAAAAAAAACAAAATTGCCGGTTTTTCCCGATTTCTTCTGATTTTCAGCCGGTTCGGTTTGAACGGTTCAACGGTTTCAGCCGGTTTACTAGTAGCGGTTCAATCGGTCTAAATTAAACCGGACTAGACAACGATTCCCGGTTAAACTGGTTGAACCAGCCGATCCGGTCCGATTTTCAAAACAATGCATAAAATAAGATAAACAAATAATTTATTATGAAAAAGTTAAAGCAAAGATTTTATGTAAAGATATTTCACTTTGTCCAGGGAATTCAAGTAATCGACAGCTCTCTCTGTTCACCTTTAAGGTGTGCTCGTCCATTTCGATGTTGGGTGATCCCCTGTCAATGTCATCCCCAAATCATCAGCTTTTTTTTTGTTTCAGTGAATCGAATTAACAAACACTGTATACACACCTACTTTCCCCACCAAAGCTCCTTTTGGGTGGTGTCATCGATAACAACCCTCTTCTCTCTTGGGGACCGCCCGGTTTTGGCTCCTGATAGGGTTGCCAGCGCACCGGTTGATGTAATGAAAAAACCCTTCTCATACTTTATCGCCTGCTCATACAACTCTGCACCAATTCCAAAAACAATCCATGATTTTTACTTGATCAGATAGTTATTTTTCGAGGGTGAATGGTTTATGTTTATTACGTACCAGAAGGGGAGAGATTGTAGAGGACATGAGTGAATTTCAAGGAACTGTCACTGACGCCGATCGTTGGTGCCTCCACATGGTGGTGGTGCGCCACGAGTGCCACTGCTTGAACCTTCCCTGCCGGATCTCCTCGCACCACTTTCGGCTCTGTCCCTCGGGTCAGAGACGCCAAAGATGCACTGCTCAGAAAAATCAAGAGTATTACGAAAATTACTAATCAAAATTTAAAGATGCCAAAAGTAAATTATATTTATTACATTCATAATCAAATTATTCATAGGGATTTAGAAATTTAATAATGGGTCTAAAATTTTAATTTGTTTAAAAAAATATATATAATAGATATGTAAAAAAAAAATCTATTTTACTTATAACACTAAGTTAAATTTAACTATTTTTTTCAAAACAATGAAATCTTTTGGGCATCCGCCCTGTAATTATTAACTAATGCTGTCATATAAATTATTGATAGGGGGTTTCTTTTTGGCTGTTGTGCAGGTGCAGGTGCAGGTGCAGGTGCAGGACGTTTACCTGATGGACTGGAGCTGTTGGCGCTGACCTCATCTTCGGAAATGATGGCAAAGGCACCCAGGGAGCCGTCTAGAGGCGTCGTGGCGCGGATCTCTTTTTTTTTTTTTGCAAAGCATAGTACTAAATTGCGACAGCAGCTCGCATTATAACGTTTTTTTAAGGTCATCGTGACGTATTATCGGCGTAACACGATAAAAGAATCGTATCACAATGGTTATGGTCCAAAATCGTTATGTAACACCGCATCACGCTATAAATTGTGTCGCAACGCCGTAATAAATTTTAAATTATCTAAAATATAAAATTACATAGATGAATTTTTTTAATTTAATTCTTAAAATTGGATTATAAATATATATCATTAATAATATCGTAATAGTTATGTTTAAAATTAGTTACTTAAATTTGAATTAATTAAATTATTTATTAATGTTATTTTAAAATTAAATTAATTTAAATTTAAATTGAATTTTTCTCATATCTAAAATTGGCCTGATCAATTTTAGATTAAATTTTTATATTAATATTAAGTATCATAGTTATATGTTTATTTATTATTATATTGGGAAATAATTGATAGACAATGGAGTAAACAACTTTATAATAATTTACTTTATACTGGTATGTTATAAAACTTTTAAATTTAAATTGTGATATATTGTTTATATATTAATTATGCTATTTTTATGTAGGATATTTTCTAAATCCACAATTTTTATACGCCACAAGTGAAGTGATTCGTGAAACTATTAATGGAGTTAGAAATGTCATACAGATGATAGAACCCAACTTGAATGGCAAAATTCTTGCAATGAACCAGATATGAATTTTATATACTTAAATTGTTTGAAAAAAAACTCATAAATTATCATGTTTAAACTACTAATTCATTTACAAAATGGATTCTTTTGGAACACCATTTGCTCAAGATGCAATTTTGAAGACTAACCCTGCTAAACAAAAAGAATTTATCCTTTATAGTTTTGTAGATAATAAAGATATTTGTATAAATATTTTATGAATTATATCTTAATATTTATGTTTTTATGGCTGAATGGTGGATTAATTATGGAAATTGTGCACCACAACTTCAACGCATCTTTGTCAAAGTTTTGAGTTAAACAACTTCATCTTCAAATTGTGAGCGTAATTAGAGTACTAATTTTAGTTTGATCTATACAAAGAAGAGAAATAGACTCAAGCATAAAAAGCTTCAAAAATTGGTTTATGTTCATTATAATATGAGGTTGAAGCTGAAACACATGCAAAGAAAAAGTGAACAAGAATTAGAAATGGGTTCTAATCCGATTAATCTTGAAAATATTTTTGAATTAGATGACAAACTAAATGCATGGATTGAAGAAAGAGAGAATGATGCACTTGATAGTGAATAAAATTTTTCATGGTTGCCTGAGGAGTTACTTTATGAAACTGATGAAGAAACTCAAGGTGAAGATATGAACAGTTCACCTACTCCTTCTAATGAGGAAAATGTTCAACTATCGACTTCATGTTATGATGATGACGACGATGACGACGATGGTGGTTGTGATGATCATGGTGGTGATAATGAAGGTACGTATCAACCAAAATATAGACACATTTATTCTGCTTCTTTTCATGGAGATCAAGGTACGTCCAAATATCCTTACGATGATAATTCATGTTTGTATAGAACAAATGCATCACAAAATAGAAGAGATGATGAAGAAAAAAACTCATAGGAGGATGGGAGAACATTTTTATGATTCATTTGTAGGTTCATCATCATATAGTTCATCTACAAATGATAATGAAATTAGTGAATCATCTTATGGTTTTCATTCTTACCAACCAAATTCATGTTATCCTCCTTACCTTGAACAAAATCCAAGTTATGGATTTTTTGGTCATCATTTATCATACAACATGTTTCCTACCAACGATGCATCTTATGATGCACATAATGTGATGTCTTCTTCACATGAATAGGAAGGAATCAAAACCAAGACAGTGAAAAAGATGAAAATGCTTTAGATCCGTCACTCCATTCATTTTGGTGGTGAACTATAAGATATATAACTTTTATATTTATTGTTTTGTATTTTTTCATTCCAAGTTATGTAAAATGAACAATTTTATGTTACAATATAAAAAATTTGATATGATTTTAGTGATATTGTTTATATGTTATTCATTAACATTATAATTGTTATTACCCATTATCCAGTATGATAACACTTCTATGGTTTATATTTGGTTTTAATAAATTTTTATATATGAAATTAAATTTTTATTTTCAAAATAAAATATTAAAAGAGTATATTAATATTAGTATATTAAAAGATAACTGTAAAATGTATAAATATAATATTTTAGACATATTATGATTTTTGAGGAAGAGATCACACCCGCGACAACTGCAACACGTTAAGTAACGTCCGCAGCATCTGTAACCATAACACCACAACCGTATCCGCAACCGTAATTTAATACTATGTTGCAAAGAGTGAAGCTCGTCAATCGTCTGAGCCTTACTGGCTTCCCACTATCATCGTGGCATATTCTATTCTTATGCGTCTGAATCCTCGCCATCGGACTCCATGGTGCCGTCGACACTTCATTTCCGCTTGCCGCCATATCTTCACCCAAAAAAAATACACTTTAGTTTTTTTTAGTATCATCTCCCTAACTTAACGACGTTTTAACCAATGTTTGTTGTTAAATAGAACCCCGAGGCTCTGACATTATATCAAGTTTCATATTTTGCTAACAGTTTTTTTACAGAAATGGTTTGCTAACAATTCACCTTGGAAGAAGGTATTACGTTTTGGGCCAAAGGGAAAGCTGAGTCCGAGATTCATTGGACCGTATGAGATTTTAAAAAGGGTGGGACCCGTAGCTTACCAATTAGCTTTGCCTCCAGATATGAACAAGATTCATAATGTTTTCCATGTATCTATGCTTAGAAGGTACAGATCAGATCCATCCCATTTGATCACCCCTGAAGAAATAGAGATCTGACCAGATTTAACTTATGAGGAAGAACCAGTGCGGATCTTGGCTAAGGAAACCAAGGAATTGAGTACCAAAAGGATTTTGTTACTTAAAGTGCTTTGGAAGAATCATAAAGTAGAAGAAGCTACTTGGGAAAGAGAGGAGGATATGAGGAAGTAATTTCCACATCTCTTCGTTTCAGGTACTTCTTTAAATTTGAGGATGAATTTTCTTAAGGTGGAGAATTGTAATATCCAAAATATCGAATTAGGGACTTTATTGAAATGATTTAAAATTTGAGGATTTATTTGATTAAATAATAAAGATAATAATTATTTGGAATAGTGGTTTAGACTAAATTGTAATAATGGATGATTAAGAAGGCATTTTGGTCCTTTAAGGGGAAAATGAATTTAAATTCATTTTTAATAAGGTATTAAAGTAAAAAGAGGAAAGAGAAATTAACTTACCGATAGTCATCTCCCTTTTCTTCTTCATTTCCCATGGAAAAAGCTCTCCTCCATAACAAAGGTAAAATTTTATTTGGTTAGTGTTTCCTTTCGATTCTGGTTGGTTCTTGCAAACTTAAGTGATATGTAAGCTTAAGGAAAGGTTATATAATATTTAATCTATGAGATAGAGGAAATATTGGAGATTTTAGAAAATGGGTTTTGAAATGATATGTTAATATATTAGTGTTTATTGATGCTTACTAGTATATTTGACTTGTCAAAGAGGTAAATGAGAGATTAGAAGCATTGGAAGGGTTTGAAAACAAGTTAGAAAAAGTGGTGTGATTCTTAAATTTGAATGTTCTTGGAAGATTTTAGATGTTTTATGAAGCTAAATGAAGGAAAGTCAGTATGGATAAGTAAAGAAGAGTTTATAGTAGTGTTGGGTGTAAACATAAGGAAATTTGACCCAATTTGGGTAATAATCGGGTTGAAAACTAGAAAATATGGGTACAAGTATCAGTAATGATAGAACAATACCGGTACTATAGGCTTAAAATGGGAAGAACAACTGAGTAGTATCGATATTGATGCAAGCAGTATCGATACCGAAAGGGGGTATCGATACTGTGAGGAAGGTATCGATACCATTGATAACATAATGAAAAAATGGTATCGATACCGTATTAGAGTATTGGTACCGTAGTATAGTAGTATCGATACCATGGTAAGGGTATCGATACTCTTGAGCCAGAAATGTTAAGATAGGCTGAGATTGTTATAGAAATTAAATATTATGTACTCTTGAGTAATGTTTAAATATAATTGTTAGGAAATATACTAACAATTGATATTGTACGTGGTTTTATTTGGATACTTGAGTAGATCGAAGTCCAGCTCCCGAGTCAAGCAAAACAAAAGGCAAAGGCAAAGTACCTGAGTAGTCAACTTTGCGTTTTGGATACAATAGCGAGGCAATCTAGGTGAGTGCATTTAATGTGTACTTTAGGTACGATAGTCATAGATGTATGATTGATTGATATATATATATACGGGGACTACCGAATGACACTGTGTGTGCAAAAATTTAAGAAATTCATACTAAGTGTATGAATTTTCGTATGGGCACTATGTGTGCAAAACTAAGAAATTCATACTAAATGTATGAATTTCCGTATGGGCACTATGTATGTAAAACTAAGAAATCCATACTATGTGTATGAATTTCCGTATGGGCACTATGTGTACAAAACTAAGAAATTCATAATATGTGTATGAATTTCTGTATGGGCACTATGTATACAAAACTAAGAAATTCATACTAAGTGTATGAATTTCCGTATGGGCACTATGTGTGCAAAACTAAGAAATTCATACTTTGTGTATGAATTTTCGTATGGGCACTATGTGTGCAAAACAAAGAAATTCATACTAAGTGTATGAATTTCCGTATGGGTACTATGTGTGCAAAACTAAGGTGGTGTTTGCTTTTACAGTGTAAGGTCTGCAAAGCTCTTATGTCTGCGCCGCGCAGACCACGCGCAGACATTGGGCTTCGCATGCCTTTTGGTTTTTAGAAGACAGAAGCTCTTCTAACGTCTGCGCGTGGTCTGCGCGGCGCAGACGTGGCCTTATGTCTGCAGACGTCTTCTAACCTCTTCAAAGAGGTTTTATATTTTATTTTATATTATATTATATTTGATTTTAATTTTAATA